TTTATTGTACTGAGCATTAGAGTGGCCATATCCTGTGGCATCCTGAGATTATTGAAGGTTTCACTAATAAAGCTGGATGGTGGAAGGTTATTTGATTTTTGGTCTTCTCAGGGAATAAAAAGCTAATGGAAAAGCCATCTTTTGGGAATTGGATGTTTTCTTCTTGGCCAAATTGTAATTCTTGAAACATCATGAGCACAAGCTGATTTTTCATAGAATTCTACAAAGATAGAATAGTCTGGGTGGGAAGGGACCTCTTAAAGGTCATCTAGTCCAAGCCTACCATAAGCAGGGATATCTCAGGTTACTCAGAGCCCTGTCCAGCCTGAACCTGAATGTTCCCAGGGATGGGGCATCCATGACCACTCTGGGCAACCTGCTCCAGTGTTTTACCACCCTCATTGTAAAAAACCTTTCTTTCTTATACCTAGTCCAAATTTAGTCTCCTTCAGTTTAAAACCATTACCCCTTGTCCTATCCCAACAGGCTCTGCTAACAGGTCCCCTTCAAGTACTGAAAGGCCACAGTAAGTTTTCCCCAGAGACTTCTCTTCTCCAGGCTGAACAATCTCGATTTTTTTTCAGCCATTTCTCATTTCAGGGCCCTTTTCTGGATTAGCTCCAACAAGTCCATGTCCTTCCTGTGCTGGGAACTCAGAGCTGGATGCAGAGTTCTGGGTGGAGTCTCACCAGAGCAGAGCAGAGCAGAGGGGCAGAATTCCCTCCCTTGCCCTGCTGGCCAATCTGCTTTGCATGCAGCCCAGGACACTTTTGGCTTTCTGGGCTGCAGGTGCTGCCAGCTCATGTCCAGCCCCTCATCCACCAACACCCCCAAGTCCTTCTCAGCAGGACAGCTCTTGTTCTATTCGTCCCCCAGCCTGGATTGATACCAGGTGTTGCCCCAACCCAGGTGGAAGAGCCGTACCCAACAAAAGAATATTGCTGAGTATTTTCTTTCACAGATTTAAGGATTTTAGGATAAACTTTTAAGGGGTCTGGAAGCACACTGCAAGCAGAATGTAATTTATTATTTATTAAGAGTTGAAACTCTTGGGTATTCATTAGGAGAGAGGAGTTGTACAGACTGCTCAGATATTCTCTCTATGGTGTTAGAAGTGAAGATATGACAGACTCCAGCTATCAAAAGAGAAATGCTAAAACTTGCAGGATGAGATAAGTAAGTCTATAGAATAGGTTTGTAAACATAAATAGGCCATTTAAGACATAAAATGTATACCTGAAGCACTGCTATTTTTATAAGTCTGACTAGTAATCCAATTGATTTAGACATAAAAGTCTTTGAAACTCTGTTTTTAAATTAGCAGTTCATGTCAAAACTAACAGCATTTCTTTGGCAAATCCTAGGTACTTCAGCCCTTGCTGGATGTATGAATTCCAGTGAGGAACATGAGGATTACTTGCTTTAGTTTCATAACCGGGGTTTACTGTGGGGGAAGGGAAAGGGGAAAGGAGAAAGGAGAAAAGAAAAGAAGGGCATTTTCCTGGATTAAACTGTGATGAAAAAACCTGGCTTGACTCACTTTCCAGGGACAAAAAAATGACTATGATTTCAGACAGCAATGTCTCTTTCATGTTCTTTTTTCTACCTTTTTGTTAAACAAAGGGAAGTGAAGAGCTGTTTATGTTTTTCCTCCCCCTTCTGTCTCCTCAGGGTTTTTCTTCCAGCACACAGTTCGTTATCAGGTTTCAGAGTGTGCTTTGCAGCACTGAGTAAAGCACTGGATAAAAATACCAAACATTTGATATCTTAGAACAACAAATCAGTTGGGAAGGAGCTTTTCTGCTGCTGTTGCTTCCATCCATGTTGTACTTAAGGATGTACTGCCAAAATAAAAGCAAAGAATGCAGTTTGTTAGTGGTTATTTATACACAAACAGATGAGTTACCAGTAACAATTATTTTCACAGCCTTTAATATGTAAGGGAAGCAAAGCAAAGAAGTTCTCACCCCAAAACACCAGGTAATTCAGCTGCTTCAAAGACAAGGATATGAAAAAAGGTGCAGATTTTTGTTCAAAGCACAAATTTATAAAACTAATATTGAGAACACAACGTGAACAAAAGGTGCATGCTTTTTTCTTGTAGTATCTTGAAAACAGCAAGGCCAGAAAGTTTGGGTTGATGCAGCCGTGGGTTTGTGGTGTCTAACAGACCAGTAGGGTTTTGTAGTCTAATGAAAAAGTAAAATATCTCTGGAAATGTTCCTGCTGGATAGTGAGGAATATCCAAATATTTGTTCAGTGTGTTCTGGTTTGTTGTGAGCCTCTGTGACCTAACAACATCAGTTTGGAGTCAATAATATAGGAGAACCTTAACTCTATGCAGAATCTGATGTCTGCAGAGGCTTGTTATTTATTAGTCTATTTTCATAATTTTGAAGACCTAACTATGGTCCACTTTAGGAGCCACTCAAAGCATTTGCTTCTAGTTTATAAATACCTAACAACAAAAATATGGTAGGTGGATGCGTCTGGTAAATGAAACAAAAGAATCCAGTGCTGAAGTGTTGGTCTGCAGGTTAGGGAATACTGTAAATCAGTAATCTAACCTTTCTTTTTGCAATTTTGCCTGTGAAAGGGAGCATTAAGGAGAGGCCTGTAAGAGTATGAGACAGTTTTCTGGAGAGGCTCCTCAATGCACAACAGGCAGCAAAAGAAACAGTGCCCTACTTACCCTTTCTCCTTTCCCTTGCCTTGCAGTAAAACCCATTTATGAAACTAAACCAAGTATTCCTCGTGTTTGAAAATGGGAGGTGCTGCAGTAAGCAAAGCAGAACCACGCTGTGACCACAACATGGATAATTGAGAGCCTAAATATAAATACAAGGAATATGTGAGGAAACCATGCCAGGGCTGGTTACAGTGACAGGATAGGAATATGATCCTTGCCCAGACACTGCAAATGGATATCAGTAGGAGGAAATTACCCTGACAAGATAAGAGGAAGAGGGGTTTTGTAATCCTGACATGAAATGAGAATCTAGAGGTGGATGGTCAGGAAAGGCTGAATGATACAGATGGTTTTTTCTAAGCATCCTTAATAATTAAACACAGCCAGGACATGAAGATACAGACTAAAGACCACATCCAAGGTTACAGCTAAGTTACTGGCCTAAATGCTATGTAATGTAAGGATTTTATTCCCTGTCACGGCTTAACCCCAGCCAGTAACTTAAATACCACACAGACACTTGCTCACTCCCACTGCCCACCCCCAGGCCCCCCAAAGGTGGGATAGGGAGGAGAATCAGAAAAAAGGTAAAACCTTTTCTTTTTATCTTGACAGAGTAATATCCTCCTGCTGATATCCAAGAGGTTGAGATAATAACAGTTTAATAACTGAAATAAAGTAAAATATAATAATCATTTTATTTGAAATGAAAAAGAGAGGCATATAAGCAAAGAAAAACAAATTATACACAATACAGTTTCTCCCAGCTTCTTGTGCACCTCCTCACTGGCAGAGCAGGAGAAACTGAAAAGTCCTTGACGTAGGATGAACTCTACTTATCAGAAACTAAAACATCAGTGTGTTACCAACATTATTCTCATACTAAATCCAAAACACAACATTGTACCAGATACTAGGAAGAAAGTTAACTCTATCCCAGCCAAAATCAGACATTTCTACAAGTCAAAGTGTAGAGTGGATAAATGAATCTGTATTGAAGCAGGCGATTGAATTATTCCTCACAAATAAGTTTAGAAAAAAATAAGAGGTTTTGGGACTCCTCAAAAGGACATCCTGCAAGAAGAAAGTGGAGGTTTCCCAGGAAAGGACAGTGTCAGGGAAGGGGAAGCCAGGAAGAGGATAAGCTAACACAAAGTGCAACATCAAGGTGCTGGTTTCTAGATTCAGTCATGGAGAAACTGAAGTGTCCCTGCTGGTTCTCCTGCAGAGCTGCTTGGCAGGACCTGCTAAGTCAGGAGAACGAATTCTGCAGATATTTTTCAGCAGGGGACTGGGGCAGGGCAAGCACAAAGCTTGCAGTCAGCGTGCAGGCTTGTTCTGAAACACTTCTGCATGCCTTTGGTGCCAGTGTTACCTCTGGTACTGTTAAAAAGAGAGTACTGGGAGAGAGGTGTAAACCAAAGCTTAGAGCGGCTTGCAGTTAATGTTTGGTGAAAAGCACTTCAGCAGAGGAATCAAGGGGTTACAAAGAAAAGAAAAAGTAGCAAAGAGCCTGGCCTTACTCTCAGAGTCAAGCAAGATGAGTCACCATCCCTGGAGGTATTTAAAAGTCTGTAGGGACATGGTTCAGTGGTGGACTTGGCAGTGTTAGGTTAACAATTGGACTCAGTGATCTTAAGGGTCTTTTCCAACCTAAATGTTTCTATGATTCCGTGAAGGTAATCGGCTTTTTTCTTCTGAGTGAGAGAGAGCTGCAGTTCTTTAGTGGAGATGTTTTGCTTGGCATTTGACTTGTCTTGTGAGCAGCTTCGCTCTGTTTTGGTTTGGGAACAGTCGACTATGATAGAAACTGTACGAACCAGCACAGAGGGAGGGAGTGCAGGTCAGCAGCAATGAGCTTCTGGGCTGACACTGAAGGCAATGCTGCTGGACAACCCTGGTAGCCAGGAGGAGCCCAGTTTGTCTTGAAGTCCCTGCAGCATGACCTTACAGAATGTTTTCACAAAGGCCCATGCTCAGCGTGACGGTTTCAGAAATTCATCTTAATTTCTAGAATTTTGAATTTTCCATTTTTTACAATGCATTTTTTCCTTAAGCACATGACATAGTACATTTCACAGTTCCTGCTGTCAGAGAGGGAAAGCACCAAATCCTGCCCATTGTGAGTAAGCCAAGAGAGTAACCATGGGAGCAGTGGATGAGGAGCTGAAATAGGACATCAGTGTGGTTGTGTTTCACTTGTCTTAACCAAAAGAAATTAGTATGATTGAGCAAACCACATGTGTTGTAGATATAGTTGTACTTGGTTAATTTTCCTGTAATTTACTGTGGCTTTGTATGCCCTTCACAGGCATGAATAACCGGGAAGTCTTGGAGCAAGTAGAACGAGGTTATCGGATGCCGTGTCCTCAGGACTGTCCCATCTCCTTGCATGAGCTTATGATTCACTGCTGGAAAAAAGACCCAGAGGAGCGTCCAACTTTTGAATATTTACAGGGTTTTCTTGAAGACTACTTCACTGCAACAGAACCCCAGTACCAGCCTGGTGACAACCTGTAAATCCCTGGTTTCCAGACACTGTCATGAATTACCAGGAATTTCTCAGCCCTGTCCCACCTGCTCTCCACCTTCCAACTCTGTGATCGGCTTCTCCAGAGTGCAACATCTTCCAGCACTGCAGTGCACAGGAGGGGCTGCAGCTGGGAACTTCCACAGCCCTTGCCTATGACCACTTGTCCTAATAATCTGAATGTCCTGGATGAAAAGGAGAAAAACACTTGTTTTTTCTTAATCAAAGACTCCAAAACTGCATTGTATTGATGTTATGTAAACTGCAAAACCTCTGTTCATTGTAAATAGTAACTCAGTGCCAATAACTGATCCTAGTGCTTTCCTTTTTTTAAAATGCAAAACCTATGTGATTTTAACTAGTCTCCTCCTGATTCAACTAAAAGTATTATTTTCCAGAAGTGGCCTCTTTGTCTAAAACATTTTTTTTTCATGTTTTAACAAATAAAAAATCAGGACAGGTGTTTGGGTTTTTGCTTTTTTTATATATAAAATATATATAATATATATACATACCTGTACATACAGTATATGGGTGCTATTGCAGAGGAGGCTCATTTGGAATTGAATGAATCCTGCTGCAGCTGTACCCAGAAAGCGATAATTTTACTGCAGACATGAAAACACTGGTGGGATTCTGAAAGCCAGTGATCTAATTTTTGGCTTTTGCCAAGCATGATTTTTTTAAATTGGATTGCACTTTTTGTTTATGATTATGTACCTGTAGATGGTTGTAACTTTGCTCTTTCAGGAATCACGTGCTGTATTTACAGTAATGTTTCCAATGTTTGACAAGTGTGTGATGATTTGTTCTTGAAATTAAAACGAACATATTTAAAGCAAGAAAACTACACCATCACCGTTTGAACTGGAAAATTGAAACTGCAAGGACTTCTTGTATCAAAACATGTATACTGAATTGTTTCAAAAAGATTTATTAAGCAGTGTAACCACATTCAGATGGTCTTAAAATAATAGCATTTTAGCCATGTCCCCCTGCTAAACTGTTGGTCATGCAACTAGGATTTTTCTGTTTTATGTGTAACATTTTTCCATTGTAAGATAAGTGTGTTGAGTGTCCTGTACTGCTAATGAAATTACTTTCTCTGTGTCTGCAAGTTCTCCAGTGGAATTACTATGCACTTCTTTACATTTCATGGGGGATGCACAGAACAAAGTATTACCTTTTCAGTTGTCTGTACCAGCCTTGAATTACTTACGTTTAACCAAAAAACACAAAAAAAAAATTCCTTTCTATTTCTATTGAGTTTTTAATACTGAGTTGCAAATTTTAAAGTCTTAATTACATTTTGTTATGGTTTATTCACAAGTTTACATTTTAAAACTGTTTAACTTTCTTAATTTAGTAATTAAAAAAAAAGAGCATTTTACATTTGGATAGTTGTTTTTTTGTTTAAACTGTGGAGCTAATGGTGGACATGAGATTAAAAACTTTTCAAGAAGGGTTGTCATGCCATTTGGGGCATCATATTTCATAGGAGTATGCAGACCAATTACCCATGGGACATCATTTCCCAAATTATGAAGTCAATATGTTTTTAAATAGCTGGAGTTCAACTGTAAGGAAGATGGCTGAATGCATAGCTAGTCTCTCCTTTCTCTCTTCTACAGCAGTTTGTTCTTTATTAGTTCTGTTGCATTTAACATGAATACTTTTACATTTACAAGTGTTGCAGGAAAAGCTTTTCTATGTCTTGTATTGCTGTTACTGCTTAAAAGATTGTGGCCAACTAAGACTTCCTGACAGTTTAAACTTTTTTTTTATTATTATTTAGTACTTAGACTGTGAATTCATATTCCGAAGATTCACACATTTTCTAAAGAGAACCTTTCTTCGTTTGTGAAAACTAACCCAATAATCAATTGAGATTCAGAGAACAAATTGTCATCGTTTTAATATTTTCTATACAAAACTGACTGAAAATCCTCTTGCAAAGGAGGCTTCCACACTTAGCCTTTCTCAAAGTGTGAATTTATACGGCAATGTTGCTTGTTACCAGATTTCCATGATAAATTGGTTAACGTTTTACATGTAGAGTCTATAAGTAATGTTATGTACATTATCTACTCAATGTTGCTGTACCTGTAGCTGTGGAGTACTGAAGAGGCCATGATCCTTGTTGGACTTCTAGCTTCCTCTTAGTACTTACAAAGCAAGTCGTGGCCCTCTTTTTTTTCCCACAGCTACCCCCCTGCCTTAAAATATCATCCATGGAACTGAGGACTCCATAGTAACTCAGCGGGCTGGCGAAGCCAAAATGTCACCTCCTCAGCCCAGAGCCCGGTGGCGAAGCGTGGCCACGCTGCCAAGTTCCTTAGCAGCCTTTGCTATGCCACAAACTTAAGTGCAGTTTCCATCTGCAATGCGGGACGAGCCTAAAACGTTAGTTTGCCTATGTTTCTCATTGGAAGTAAGACTCAGATGGGGCATTGTTGGGGTTTTATGGCCTTTATTTCTGATTCTTGGGTTTGCTGTTTCTTGTATTGCATTCAGTCTCTGAGTACCACGTTGGTCTCTGCCGGATCTCTGCCTGCAGCTGGCTTGTGTGCAGACTGGTGCCACTGTTGAGTGGCAAATCCAGACCATTTCTCATCGGTAGCTCTTCTGCTTCTTTTTCTTAATGTTGGGAGTTTTGTTGTTTGGGTTTTTTAATCTCTCAAATAAAAACATTAGCAAAAAATTTAAACAAGGTTGTTAGGTTTTTTTGCTATAAATTAATAAAAGCCTTTTCTTAAGCACTGTGTATACACCACAAGTAGTTGTGTGGTGACTCTAAAAGTAGAATTTGTGAGATTAAGAATCTTCTGTTCCTTCCAATAATTTTTAAATGTAAGACTAAATAAACTCCACCCAGGTAAAAACAATTGGCCAAATGCTCCCCCCACCAGCCCACCTGATTCCCAACCAATCCATGGTGTGGTGGCTGATTTCCAGAAGAGGTCTTCTAGGAGACCTACCAGCAGCAGAAAGGACTCTGTGGGGAGAGACAGGCTTCTCTAAGCCATGTTTAATCCAAGACCTGTCTCAGGAAAAGTGACAGGTGGAAATGGGACACTGCTACAAAAGGATAGTTAGTATGGTTATTATATTTCTGTGAGAAGGCAATTATGTGAGACTTGGTGGTCTTTGAAAAAGACAAAAGGCACTAACATGATATTCTTTGGCTATTGTAAACAGTGCTCAATGTAGTTCTGGGTGACACTCTGGTTTTGATTTAATTACCACTGTAGAAAAACAAAGTAAATACAAAACAGAAGAGTGATTAACTGCTAAAATTACAAGAATAATCACAAATGGAAAATCTGTCTCCAGTGCGAGTGTTTCTCCTGAAGCCTCTAGACTGGAAAGGACTACCTGCAGCCCAAGGAGGCAGATTGCTAAATATCTCGATCTTGCCACATAACTTCAAGGTGAGTGGAAAGTTGCTCCAATTTATTTTAACATGCACCATCCTTTTCTCAAGTGCTGCAATAAACAATGCAGCGCGCTAATGAACGCTACCATATTGCACCCAAGGGGTTTAAGGGCCTCACACGAGGCTGAGCCCAAGCATGCAAGAGCTATTCGGAGATATACAGTAGCTCCTCTTCTGAAGTGTAGACAATATTCATTCATCAAAGGAGCCCTTTCCTGTCTAATGGGAAATAACCACCAGCAGTGCAGACAAAAGGATATTTATTTTCTCCAGTTGTGTCAGTTTGAGGGTCTGTCTGTCTTTCAAGAATAATTGAAGTCTGTTTGTAGCTCAGAAATCTCATTGTGTTCTGCAGTCTTGGAAAGCAGTGATTATAATTTCCTGTGACTCATACACAGGGATGTTTTATCACTGAGGGGACTCCTGTCAGCTGGAGCAGCATTCCCTGCCATCTTAACTGAAGAAAGGGGCACTTTAGTTTCAGACTTTCCTGCACAGACCAAACCAGAACCCGTGTGCTTTCTGCAGAAAAGGAAAAGAGGCCCCTTGCTGGGATTGCCACATGAGTAGGGTGCTAGTGTCTCCTTCTCAGTGCTTCTAAATTTCTCAGAACTTCTGACACCTAAAACCAGGCTGCTGAGGTCCGTTTTGAATGTTAGAGAGGAAATGCTGGCTTCCCTTAAGTCCATGAGATATTTTCTGTTGACTTTTAATACAGAGCCTGTTCTTATGTGTGTGTGTGTGTACAGTTATCTGTAACTCAAAAGGAAATTCATACATAAAAACATCTACACAAACATCCATCTATCTCCTTGTATTCCTCCCCCATAGCTGAAAGCTTAACAAAAATGTAAAACTGGGACATGAGTAGATTAGAGGACAAAATGCTGTTAACAACAAAAGAGCTGCTCTTTTTTTCTTCTTGTTTTCCTTTTTTTTTTTTCCCCTGCTGATTTTCACTACGTGATCTGTTACAATCCCTATTCCCAAACCAGGAGAGGTGTAGCAGCAAGCACTGCTGCTACAGCCCAGAGATGCCGTGGGTCGCAGCCTGCAGCTATCCTAAAGTCAGGGAGAGAAAACATTTCTCCCAAGGGCATGGCTGCAGTTTGGAGCCTGCGGTGGGAGCGTGCAGGAGTGCAGGGAGAACTGCTCTCCCAGGAAAAGCAGGTCATTAGCTGGTAGGCACTGCATCGTGTGGTGGAGAGGCAGAGGCAAAGGTTGCAGCAGCAGCTGTGTTTGCAGCACCAGCTGTGCTCACAGCGCCTGTGCTTCCTTGTGCCCAGGGATTTGGGTGATGAGATTAGAGCAGGCTGAGGAGCGTGAACTGCGGTTTCTGCTTCCAAATGTAAATATCTTCTCTGTTACAGCATAGAGGAAAATAGTGTACGTTCAAGATGGGGGAAAACCACAGGATTGGTGTGGCCTGTGACTGCGAGGCAAGTGTTGGTTCTGCCTGACCAGGCCAGATGGAAGTTTGATTGTTTGGCTCATTGTTGGGAATAACTCGGCATTAAGCTCTGTGAACAGCTAAAAGGGCAAAGAGTAAAGAAATGAGATTATCCTTCTTCCCCTACAGCCAGGCTAGAGCTTGCCAAGGGCTCTGGTTTGCGTTTTTGTGCATCAGCATTTGTTGCTGAGCTCCTGCACCCAGAGCCTTGTTCAGCTACCTATTGTAACAGCTTCACACAAAATTCCTGAGCCCTGGAATGGATGAATTCTAATCTGGAAAAAGAAAAAAGAATGCAGGGCTGCTTTGTGGCTGTTGGGGCTCAGCCTCATGCCAGAGGCTTGTCTGTGAGCCCTGGCATTCCCTGTGATTTATTCACTGCTGCAGTTCAGGCTCTGGACTGCCTCTAAATCCCACAGGCTGCTGGAATTCCCCAGCTAGAAAATGCTACTCATATATATATAGGAAGGGTCCCTGGTGTTGGGAAAGGGCTGCAGGGGTCCCAGCACACCACTCCTGGTACCACGCAGGACCTGGGCCATCACTGTTCCTGGGGCAGACTTCCCAGGAGAGAGTGGCAATGCAGAAGGGGCCTGCAGCTTCCCTGGAGCCCCTTGGACACCCAGGGCTGCCGTGCTCTGCTGGCAGCAGCTCGGGCACAACTGTGTGGAGCTGCTGACGGGTCTTGGGGTGACTTGGCCAGGGCTGTGTTGCTGCAGCCCATAGTCCCAGTGACAATGGAGAACCAGATGCTGAATCCTGCCCTCCTAAAAATGCAAAGGCAATGAGCCACATGGGGAACAGCTTTGTGTCTTAAAGAGAGAGGACTAGGTATGTTTGATCATACGAGAGCTCAAGCGTTCCCTCAAATTCCCATGCCACCCAAAAGCAGTGCAGCCACCAGCTGAGCTTTGTCTATGACCTCATATACATCCAGTGTATAAAGCACATACCACATATTGAACATTTGCATATGTTACATGTCTTTTGTTCCACTTGGGTGGCCTCTGCCTCCCCTTCCCCCACCTCTTGCCCCATTACTCATCCACACAGCTCCCATCATGTTATTCTGGACGTGTCATTTCTGAAGGACTACACATCCCTGTCCTGCAGAGAGTGGGGGCTCTGTTAATTGTCAAATGTTGAGTGGGTAATGATCAATGGGTGACTAATTGGACACAAGAGGGAATAAAATAGGTATTACTTAGCTTCTGCTCTTAATTAAGAGCTGTGGGGAAAATCTTAACAAATAGCAGGAGAGGTTTTTGTCATTATGCAGGGTTTAATTACATGCATTGCACAAGCTAACATCCAGGTACTGTTTTCCTTCCATTCAGGTGTCTCTCCAGGGTCTGACTGAAAAATGCCAAAGCAAGACCCTTAAAATAAAGTAAGGGGAAAATATGTTTGCAGGCATGTGCCTAGCAATGTAAACAGCAAGAGATGGAAGGAAGCTCCAGTTTTTCTCACAGTGCAAAAGCAGCAAGGGACAAGCCACATGCAGAGAACCAGAGTGAGACCAACATGTGCATTATGCTGAGGCAGAGGGGGTTAAAGGCTCACTACAACGTCTCCAGGTTAATTCACAGCACCAATGTTAAAAGAGGAGCAACATGACAGTGCTTTATTTAAACAGTTAATCATCTGGAAGCAAAAAGAGTCATGATTTATTTCTCCAAATACAGAGATGTGGTAGGAAATATGAGAAGGAGCACTCAATACTAACACTTTCTTCCTAATGAAAAAAGAAATATTACAACTCCTGCAGGATTAAGAACCTTTTTAGAAAAAAAAAAGGTCC